CATCTTGTCTATTCTCCTCTGTTGTTTCCTATTATTTTTTTTCCTGGATTGCTGAAAAAAGACTATGCTATGTTGCATAGAACTTTGAAGATTATCAGCAGAACTAGTGGTATACTTTTAAACCTTCTAGTTAGAAAAACTGTTGTGGACAAACATATTAACTCATGAAAATATCTAGCAGGAGTTATTTTATCAGATGATCAACATTCTCTTCACTCAAAGCTCTCTATGTGTCCGTCATCTGGAAAGACAATGAGTAAGTACATAAGTCTTTATGTACGTACAACAAAATATAAAAATTCTACCATAACGTATTTAACTCATCTCTTGTGCAACGAAGAAAGCATTACAAATGAACTGACTGGTTAACTTCTGTTTTTGAAAGAAAACTGAATAATGAGTAAACAGCATGTTATTATTTATGTATAATGAATCTAATTACTAATGTGTTTGTTTATCCAAGTTAACTCTGCATTTTCATGAAACGGAGTAAATATTCTTCATCTTTTATATGCAATTTCTACTCATTTCAATTTGTTATGTATAAATATAGACTGTTTCCGTCCACTTGATGTTAAATGACATGTTGAAAATGCTGAACAGTATTCCCGAAATAACTTTCAGAATAAACCCATCATTACTATTATTGTTATTAACTACAATCTACTACAGTGTCCAAGTTTTACTCCTATATTAATCACTACGTTTTAGTTTATTTGGTGGCTAGCAATGAAATCCGAGAGGTGCGTTTCACTCTACTTGAGACTCGTCAGCTGAATATATCTTCACTCTAGTGAATGGTGTCCTCGTTGAGACTCAGAACTAGTATCCACCGCTTTGAACATCAAAGCTTTATCCCCTAGGCTGCTGGGGTATGAGAAATACCTCTTGTGCAAAGAGTATTGGTACTTTTAATCTCCCGTTGCTATACTGGATCGAATTGCTAGAAGTCAGTACATCTTTGTTGTAATATTCATAATGACAATTCCATATTGCATCGAAAATTTTTGGTAATAAAGGGATTCTTCTTTTGTAACCTCTGGTTATGCACCCACTGGTTTCCGTCGTCAGTTTGTACTGCGTAGGAGGACTATCCCCCCAACTATACTCCTACTCGAAGCTGCATTGAATAATGAATGACTAGGGACACGCAATCTCAAACTGACAAAAACAACGCAGAACCTTGCACACAGGTACATTGGCTCAAGTTGCCACACTTCACAGTAGTAAACAAATACCAAGTGGATGGAAAAAAATCAATATCAAAATGTACAAGGTTGTGTTAGGGAATAAATAATTTGAGGATGATGGTTAGTGTAAGTATTCAAGCTTTAGGTGTCAAGGGGTGAATACATCTGCGCCATTGTGATTGGTTTCAGTCATGTCACCAACAGTCCACAATCACTGATTCCTTTTGTCTCGGGGACCCCAACCAGGGAGTCTATATCGCCCAGCACGACCCAGACTAACAATTACAGACTTCATCAACTGGTGTCAGGTCTTGGTCCAGCTATCCTGAAGCCTGTTCCAATCTAATCCAATTTCTAGCATGGCATGTCAAAGTAAGTGGTGGCATGTGCAGTACATGTTCAAGCCATCTAAGCCGATAAGCGTTCAAAACCTCATCGATCGACTTGCCTAGTATCCTTCGCTTCATTTCAACATTGTTCATACGGTGATTCCACCAAACACGAGCAATGCTACGAAGATACCTAGAACCGAAACCCCGTAACCACTTCGTGTATTCCACTTTTAACGGTCATATCTCAGCTGTATGATAGAACAAAGCGGATTCCAGAGCAGTATACTCGTCCTTTGGTAAATAGTCAGATATCTCGCCGGCGCCACAGGTGATGCCATCTGGCGAGCGGTAAACAAGCCTTCTGTATCCTATCTAGGATTTCGTCAGCAACCAGCCTGTTCGGGCTGATGCAACTCCACAAGTGGAGTGGTCAACATATTCCACCACTTCACTCTTTATCACTAAACTAAGAATACTCGCAGCAGACTAGTCTTGAAGCATCACCTTCCATTTAACAGGTGCCAGAGAAACACATATCAAACATACAGATTTCTGCTGACCACGTTCAAAAGTCTCTGCAGTTTGTCCGCGTCTTCACCCAGCAGGAAAACATTATCCGCGTACTCCAAATTAACCGGATGACCTCCAGGGAGTAGGTCAATCCGTGAGAAGTCAAAGGTACCTAAAGTTATTTACACTAGGAAGTCTATGAAGAAGTTAAATAGGGACGGCGGACACTCCTAGTTGCGGTCAATGCTGACAACTCTCCGTAAGCCCTTACATGGCTGTGTGAGTCCGAGTAAAGAGCTTTGATTAGCGTCATACACTTCCTCAGTACTCCCTTTACAGTTAGACGCTGCTACATGACCTCACGATCGACAGAGTCGAATGCTGCCTTGAATCCAAGAAGTATGCCAAGTGTCGGCCACCGGTAAGTATACCTATGTTCTATAACCTGTCAGGGGTGAAAATATGATCGATGTATCCTCGTTCAGGTCTTAAACCTGCCCGGTTTTCTCGAGTTCCAGTTAGGTATCGAATAACTATGGACGCTAGGATATTGGACAAAATATTAGCCAAACGAATTCCCCTATGGTGTTCACAAGAAGATTTCTCCCCCTTCTTATAGACTAGGATGATCAGTGAAGTACACCAGTCTGACAGCACTATCTCTCATTCCCATACACAATCTAGTACCTCTGTCACTTTAATCAGCAGTTTCCTGCCCCCACCCTTAAAAGCTTCAGGCTGAAAACTGGCAGGTCCTGATGCTTTCTAACGTTTTAGGTGTGATACAGGATTCTCAACCCCAAAGGGAGTTAGAAGACCGACATCTACTTCCCATTCAGGTTCAGGCTGGATTTTGGTCAACTGAAGCGTTGCTTCAAAGTGTTCTGCCCAACGTCTTAGCCATCTGTCCTGTGACGCCATTAACGTCCCATCTTTTTCGGTGCTGGTCTTACTGATCATTGTCTTCTTCTTACTAGTATGCTTAATAAGCCTAAATGGTTGCCGGGTTTTATCCAATGCTGATGCCGTTTCCATCTCTCTCGCTATCGTCGGCCACCACTGCTCGCGATCACACGAAGACTCTTGAGCAACATACGTCTAAGTTACTTTCTCTCTTCATCGTGATCAGATTTAGCTGGAATAAGTCTTCTCGCATCAATAAGTTCGGATAACGTTGTGAAAATCCGATGACGTTTGATAACCAGGTCTACGTTGCCAATTGTCTTCGCCATTGTTTCTACAGAGGACTTAATATCACGCCAAGTTTCCTCAACATGAGCATTGCTATCACGTTCAGATAAATGTTTAGCCAACTCCTTTCTAAATGTGTATTTGACGTCCTCATCTACCAATCGAGAACAAATGGGCCTCACTGCCGCTTGTTTCCTGCGGACGGTAAGGCGCAAACACACACGACTCCCTATTGGCACGTGATCTGAGTCCAAACTGGTAATCCATAAAGAGTGGCAATCTTCCACTGATGGCTTGTAACAGTGTTATTTGTCTGTATCCACTGTTGGTTTGAAGTCTGAAGACGTCATTTGAGAGTGTCTCTCCTTATACTTTAAATTAGTGCTGCCCAGAAACAGGTGATTGTCGGAACAAAATTGCAACAGAAGATCATCATTCTCGGTTATTTGGCATGGGATTCCGTAAATACCTCCAGGATGCCTTTCTGACCGGCTCGGCTTCCCTGCTTGAGTGCTAAAGTCACCTGTCATTATGATTGTATCTGGACGTTTCCCTCTCTATAGCAAAGTTGACAGCTTCTCACAGAATTTATCCTTTGCGTTATCCGAACTACAGTCGGTGGGTTTGTAGGCGAAGATCATGAATAGCTATCGCCCAATCCCATGATCCTCCCTGGTCCTTACAGATCCATTCATTGGACAGCACAAACAGTTGGAAACCAATTGATGAGTGAGCCTTCTGCTCCACAACTCAATGGTATGCCTACATCAGCGAGTCCATGAAATCTGGCCATCGGCTCTCCGGATACTCACAAGGGGAATTTTGTAGATACATCACGCTGGTCAGGTGAGGTGAATTTAATAACCACGCTTCGGTCCTGTACACGTGTTTCAGAGACAAGGAATACATCCACGGTTAGAGATCCCAGAGTTTTGGCCAGCTATGCTTGCTTTCCGATTTGGCAAAGAATCCGGACGTTGAAAGCTCCTATATGAAATCGATGGTGGGGTTTTAGGTGAAGAATGAGGTTCCGATGGCTTTAGTCGTTGACAATAGTTGCAAAGTGAGATTGCGTATGGTGCGAGAGGCTTAATATTAGTATCACAAAGTAAAGGCAAAGGAGGACAGGTGATACTTGATTGAGTCTTGTGCACTAATGGAAGCATGTGGGCAAGATTGACACTTCCCGGCTGCCCATACCATGGAAGGCTATTTCTTCTTAAGGCACTTGGAAGAGAAGATTTGTGTGACCGCAGAGCCCATAGGACATCTGCTTGGGGCCTGTCAGACACGGCTTTTTGTGGGATGTTATCTTGAGGTTTGGTTGTTCAAAGGCCGGACAGAAAGAATCCATACCACCTGGAGACTGTGGGCATCGTAGAGTGTTATCTTTGGGACCGACCTTTCCTCCCCATTTCCATTGAGAAGGTAGCATCAACATAGCACTGCTGATCGTCCGGAGGAAACGCCTTACTGATGTCACACTCCATCCAGGTAGGAGTAGTAAGACTTATCCCTCGGACCACCATCATTGTGCAGTAACTTCCACTGCAACGGATTTCTATCCCACGACTATCTAACAGGCCTTTCTGGTATGGTAGGACCTTGAGGGGACTAGCGATCCAGTCATTGTAGCTCCTTGGGTCATTGCGATGTGACCGATAGCAAGTATCGGTCGGGGCGCACAATCCAACGGTTTCGGACTATGAATGTTCGGAGTTTTATTAATTAACGCCAGTGCCCATCACTAATAAACAAATAACAAAGAAAGACTACTCCATTCAAAGATGACTTGTATTTACTCACTCGGGCACTTACACGCGTACATATACACTTCATAGTTGAAGTGATCATGATGTGAAGGAAATGAAAGATGAGAAATAACACATACACACATATGAGAAATGACAAATAACGTGACCATTGCAACAATTATCAAGGGATTAGAGTACACAGCAAATTAAGTGGATAATGTTTAATCAAAGAACAGAACAACACATCCTAGAAGAGAAAATATTTTGTCAAATTGTTGTGTACTTCCGTTTTTATTTCCTTTCAATCTATCGCTTAGTTTACAAATGTTGACCTAGACACACACACACACAAAAAAGGAAAGCTGAGATAAACAAGAGAGAAGAAACAATAATTGTGCTGTGTGTTTGCTGTTAAAACTACTTGAACAATAGCAATGCTATACTCTCTTTTACAAACACACATATAACTTTCCCATGAAAACATAAGAAACAAATAGTGCAATACAATGAAAATTGATAAGAAACTTAACTCATCATAATAAGTCAATGATAGAAAAGTGAAAAATAGAGCAGAAATTATTGTGACATAAGAAGACAAGATCAACACATTACTCACATGACTTTACCACTACAAACGTAGAGTAAGAGAGAGAGAGAAAAAACAACACAACAACAACACATGCAGTTTAGCAAAGACCGGGTAACACGTGTATTTTATTTAGTATTTAGAGTTGGGGTTTCGATTAAAGAGGTGAACACGAAACGCAGGTAGTCAAAGTAGGGAGGGGGAGGGGTAGAAAGAGGAGAGAAATGCAATTTTACATTTTTTTCCTTCGGGGTTTTCTCTTACATTCATTCACGTAAGTTACTCAGTATTTGAGTGTATCATTCACATATTTGACTTTGGTGTACAACTGAATTATTTGTGGTCACTTTAATGTGTTTTTGTTCCAAAATTACACCGTACATAAAGAGAAGAAAAAACGTCATGCTGATATAGCACTGGTCATTTGTAAGTATGAAAAGATTCGAGAAGAAAGTAACAAGAAACCAGAACATAGGAGGGAAACCGTGAGAAGGAAAGGCAGCGCATAGGGTGAGGGGGGGAAGGATTATGCAGTCACTGAAATCTCTTCATACTCTCTTAATATAACGTAGTACTAAACAAAAACCTGTTAACAGGTATATTATTGTAGTGAAGAAATACACTGAGATTTAGCAAGCAGGTTGATAAGTGGCCAGCACAGCAATGAAGTGATGTCGTCACACACGCACATAAATACAAGAAGCAAAAGATTAAGTGGAGACGGAATACGTAAATCAAGGTGTGTATCTAATGTATGTTAACGGGCGCGTATAGATGCAACACAAAAGAGATTATTGAGATAATAATAATAGTAATAATGTCAAGCACTTTTTAGTGAAACCTAAGTAGAAATATTTGTCAAAAAAAAAGAGGACAACGGCAAAACAGGCAGAAGAATAAGTAAATCCTGGTCAATAGTTAATTAGAGCCTATTAATTACAACGGATATCATCATAAGGAAGAGGCGGAAGAAGGGAAGTCACATAAAGGAATCGAAACTCAAAACTATGACAATAAACGAAACAACAGAAGAGGGTGTGAAAATTTCGAAAGAAAATTGCCTACACAAAGGTAATAATAATAATAATATCAACATTGGATGGCTGCAGAGAGTTTACAAACGACTAGTTAATTGAAGAAGTGTTGAATGGAAGGGATGAGGCGAACACATAGTCACTTACAACTGGAACACGATAACAAGTAGGGACAATAGAAGAAGGAGCGTTATTATCGATTCACAAGCACACTTTTTTTCCGATGAACAATAATAAACATACATATGATCTCCTCTAGCAAGTATCGCCGATAAATTAAGCAGTTTGATGGGTTAGTTTACCACCAGACGATGAGTTGATCAGTGGGATATATTTTGATGCTGTTGTAGAGCTGAGATGCTGTTTATTGTCAATATGTATTATATTAGAAGGAGTAGTGTTCGAATTCGGGGGATGAATAGGAGCGCTTAAAACAAGTGGTATTTTTCTGATACCTAATGGAATTGAAGACGACTTCTCATCACTATCATTCATCATTACTGAGAGTATAAAATGTTGATTGGATGTATTACTATTTGCATTCTGTGAATTGGAATTTTCGCCTTGAATGTTCAACTGACCATTGTTATCCTCAGTTTGTGATGCTGGTATGTAGGTAGTCACTTGTACAGGGACAGGTACTAGACTTGTTGGTGGTGCTCCTGTGGCTCGTGCAGCAGCTTCAGCCAAAGCAGCTGCACTAGCTGATGAAGAGGCGGAGACCAACAGTAAAGGAAATGATGATTTACTAGAGTTTAAATTAGCTCCAAAACTGTTAAAGTTTTCAATATGTGAAGAGGTAAGTGAATATTGTAGACCTGTAGAATTATTTGACATTCGTTTGATGTCTGATGAAGTGATTTCATCTGTATTCGAAAGATGAAGAGATGTAGGAACTGTAGTTGATGGTGAAAGCATCATGATAACATGTGCACCACTGACGTTAACTTGATTTGATAAAATGGATGAAGGTGATAAAGAAATGGGTAGGGTGTTATTGGAAGGTTCTAAATATGAAGCTTTCGACTGGTCTACTGACAATTTATTGAATAACGCAGAATCTATTGTAATAGGACTAGAATTTGCAAGAATACGTTTACGCTCATTCTTAACTTCTGTTTGTACCAGCTGTAAAAAAACAAACAAAATGTAGATGATTTTAAGTTAAGATGATACTAAACATTTCATTGAAACAAGGATCAAAATAAATAAAACTGTGACTACTATTGAACCAATCGTTAACATGTACCAAAAAGCTTGATGACTGGCTACGTTACAAATCTAACAGATTGTATCCTATTTGGAGGTTTGTGGGGATTGATTTATTGATTTCAGGTAGCTATTCATCAATAACTGATATCAGTCGGAGAAACATTGGAAACCCGGGAGCACTGGACAGCTGTTTCATCCTAGTATGGGGCTTCTCAGCAATGACTAACTATGACCCCACCAGGGACCGAACCCAGTACGTTCAGGTTCCGCTGTCAGGACGTTAACGTTGAGCTACTGTGTCGGAATCCAATGCTAACCAAGTCGGACATGAAAACAGTTACTCAACGACGGTATTGGATGGAGGCCACGCTATATCACGAACTGATAAAAGTAGGATTCCAACCCAAAGGTTTAATGATAACGTCCTGGGTGCGGAACCTGAAGGTCTTGAGTTTGATCCCTGGTGAGATCATGGGTGCGCAGTTCTGAGGTTTCCCATACTAGGGCGAAACAACTGTTTAGTGCTACCAGGTTTCTAATGTTTCTCCAACTGATGTCGATACATCATGAATACCAACCGGAGATAGTATTCAGTTGAGGCGTAGAGATAGACAATATAACATTATTTACTCTCTAGTGATCAATCAATATATTTCATATGTTCACAATACAACTGTACGAGATCGAGGATTGATCGAATTAGGAAAATATGGCTCATTAGATTCCAGCCTAGTGGATGAATGCCAACGTGCTTGTCACAAAACTTAACGGTCCTGGACTCGATCCCCTTGGAGGTCATGAGTATGCTCTGCAAGGAAGTCTCAAAAGAAGATGTGATTGCTGTTTACCACTCTCAAGTTCTCAATGGTTCTCTAGCTGACGTCCATTTGAGGCGAAAATTACTTTCAAATATTTGATAGTCAAAGTCCGAAGGAATCACAAATTGGAATAAATTTGTGACAGAAACTTAATGGACTGAGATCATATCTTGATTTGATTGTCCTTAACATCTTTTCAACCTCATCCACCTTTGATTAACGTTGCGCATCAAGGTAGGTGATGGTTCGGTATGTGCAACATAAGTCCAAATCATCTCAGTTTGTGAAAGTTCAGAACCTCATCGACTGACTTACCTAGTAGGCTTCACCTAACCTCAACATCACTCACACTGTGATACTATTAAACATAAGAAATGCTACCTAAATACCAGTGGTTAAAAGTATGTAATACTTTCACATATTCAACTTCTAAGGGCTACTTCTCAGTCTTAGGAAGAGGACAGAACAGTGTTACACAGTAGATTACTCTCAAAATAGTGGAGCTATGGCTCATTGATTTAGGGAGATAACTTTTAACCGATGGGTCACGGGTTTTAGCTCCACTCCACCTACCGAAGTCTTGGCAGCCCTCACCCAATAGGCGTGGCTCATTGTCTACACTTTTCTTCCAAAATAATTCTCTGCAATCACATGAATGTTCATGCACTAGCCAATAAACTACATACTTGTAGTATAATGAAAAAACTTGGTAGCGCAAACAAAGTTTGAACCCGTGACGAACTGCCTGAAATTCAGCAACCTAGGTCGATGAGCCACAACTTTACACATTTTCTTTAAGAGAACACAGCAAAAAGGATACAAACACTGGGATATAACTAGCACACTAATTTTTTTATACGGTAGTACATGAGTCAGCACACATACAGATGTCTTACACAGGTTAGATCAACAGTTAATGTCCAGTGAATTCTAGATAAAGTATTCTCTGCGTCAGTGAATCAGATTTGGATAGAAGGCAATCAGATCAGACATCATATTTACTGTACTGGGAACCTGGTAAGTTGCCAAATAGCAGATAAGAACTAAATGGTCACAAATTATGCGATTTCACAGATAACTTCAGTCAAGTTAATGGATATGAGTACAATAAAATTTATTTGGAAAATAAAAGTCAGATGTCCAAATGGACGATTAAAAAAACCTACAAGGATCGACTGGGTCTTGCTTGACATAGTCACTAGTCTTGGGACCACAGAACCTTCAGAATGGTAACCGGAAGGTTGTGAGGCACCTGCATGTGCAGACGTAAATCTTTATTCTGTGACAACATCGTCTCAACCTACGACATTTTCATTTTCTCCAACCATTCATAGTGGTAAGAGAATAGAATGATGCATTGACTGATCACTGGAGAGCAAACAAATTCATACCACCTAGTCCAAATAACTTTCAGCAGATTACTTCGAACCACCTAACAACAAGCGTACCACGATGGTGAGTCTCTGAGGTTGGCGGTCAGATTGAAAACTTGATCGTTAGAATTCGGTGGGCAATCAGGACTAGTAACAACGAAACTGTTCGCTCTCAGGTGACTAGTCAATGTATATTATGTGGTCTTACAACGGGGTTACTCTTCTCCAAATAGCTTGTTGGTAACGTCTCTGACTGCAGTACTCAGTGATACGATCTTCAGCCTATGATGAGACATCAGTCCCTTAGAAGTTGAAGACTCTAACTCTTGCTGACGTAACCCGGCAAGCACAAAAACAAGATCCATGACTTTCTCTGTCCACCGCTTCCAAACACATAACACTGGAATATGAATTGTCTAAGATAACAAGACTGGTTCTGAGAGATAATATTTATTGAATAGCAGTTTTCACTGACTAAACGAATATACTTGGGCACAGCATTACCTATGTGGTACTGCTGAGCAGAATAGGAAATCCTACGGAAACAGAGATAATGTAACATAAGAAACTGATCAACGAAGTCTCAGCTTCAAATGTCCAGGTTTCATATTACAGCTAGTCGGCGTCAACATAGGTCCCGGTATTACTACACAATAGTTCAAGCTGCCACAACTCATATAATCACAACCACATGAATCACAGCAATAAAAATAGTGGAATTGGGAGAAAAATACAAACAAAAGCTGTAGACAGTCATAAGAAGACGGGGTATGGGAAATAAAGAAATGCAATATGATGATTACGGTGATGACAGTGTGTAGATACACCTGCACCACCGACTTTGATTCTGTATCATATCCTCCAGAGTACCCAACCATTGGTTATGGGTGTCATGTGGACCCCAACCCAGAAGTCTACATTTCTCTCCATACAGTCTAGACCAATAACCAATCATCATCATCATCATCAAAATCAACATAGGACCATGTATTACTGCGTAACGGCTCGAGTTGCCACACCTCATATCAACACATCAAGTAAAAAGGCAGTGAAATAGAAGATGAAGAAAACAAAATTCAGTCAAAAGAAATATAAAGTACTAAGAGAGAAAAAGGAGGAATGAGAAAGTAGTGAGATCAAGTATAGCATCGTTAAGATGAGAATAATGTGTGTATACGTCTGCGCCACTCACATCGGTTCTGACCCACATCACCTAGACTCAGTCTCTAACCACTGGTTCCTCTTGTCCCTCAGATCCCAACCACCTAGTCTGCATTGCCCTATATCGCTCAAATCGACAGTCAGAGACTTCATACATTGATGCCATGTTTTAGTCTGGCCACATCGGACCTTTTTCCAGCCTGGACCTACTTCGGTCAACATTGTGTGACGAGGCAATCGGCGACTAGGTGTACGTAACACGTGTCCCAACCATTTCAGTCGATGAATGTCCATAACCTCGTCAACAGACTTACTAACAACTAAAGACTTTATGGATTGATGTCAAGTTTTGATCTGGTTGCGTCTATCTTTTCTCCAACCTAAACCTACTTCAGGTGACATTTTGCAACGAGATATGTGGTGACTAGGCATGGGTAACAATCTCAGCCACCTGAGTCAGTACAAATTCACTCCACCGACTGACACCTTTTTTACTGTACACGACGTTTACACCACTAATGTGATGGTGTTCAGATAGACTGGTAACGCTATGAGGGCGACGGTGATCGAACACCTGAAGTCTTTTCATGTCCATGTTTAGTGGCCACGCTTCACAGACACATAATATAGCCTAGAAAAATGCATAGGTGAGCACATAGTAGGACTGTTGGCGCTAGTGTACTACTGAAGTCAAACGAACACCACGACAGCTATTCACTCGACTCTTAGACCATGTCCACTGTCTTGCATACTTGGTGTGGACATCTCTATCTATACAATCAGCTATTGTAGCATAAAGCAAAGTTTAGAATAGGATTCAATCAAATGATGATTTCTAGTAGAGACTTATCAACACGAAATACTCATATACATCCAGCTTAACAGCACTGATGCATTCTAATAGATTCAAAGTAAGTCAGGTTGCAAAGAAACATTCATTTTAGACTTCATATGAGTACTATTTCATTCAAGCATAAAACCGAACAAATTAACCATGCATAACAAAGCTGAATGAAGCATCTACTCATCATATCTCAGTTGACCTTCTGTAGGCTTATTCCTACTTCCTCCCCCTGTTTACACTAAAAACAAGAGAAAAAGTGTGACAAACGCCAGTTTACATATAACTACTGATACCAATAACAACTGCAGGGAAAAAAATACTATACGTAGAACGATTCCTTGGAATCAATAACTCACTGCCAAGAACACAATTACACCTATAATGAATGGATACGGTTAAGTGATATACAAAGTAGCATTACGCAACATGATGAGGAGTTACTTAAGGATGGAATTAATAGTACAAATTATACTGCTTAATACAATTTCTAGTTTGGAATTGATTGATAAGACTGTTACATACAATGTAGACAGTCTGTTCAGGTTACCAATACTAGTGAAGGAAATGAAGACGGAAAATTAATTAAATGCATGAAATATTAACAGGGATTTTTAAAATAGATAAAGCTGAGATAGAGAGGAATAGGTTAGTGATAGACAACGAGATATCCGTTAATTATAGAAATATAAGGAATGGATGGATCTATATCACAGAGATAGACTCTACCTGTATAGTGTTGCCAATGCGTCTTTGAACACCCCTTTACATTAGTTACGCAAACGTCAATGTATAGTTTTAAGGTAAAAAAGGTTGTGAATCTCCATTGACTCAGGTAGCTGGGACTATGATACGCATGCCTAGTCACTATATATCCCGTTGTGAAACGTTAATGAAGTAGGTTCAGATTGAGGAAAAGATAGATGCGACCAGACCAAAACTTTACAACAGTTCATGAAGTCTTTAACTGCTAGTCTAGACTGTATGTAGAAAAATGAGGACTTCTGGGTTGAAGTCCGTGTGGTTCATTGGCTTAGGGAGTTGACTTCAAACAAATGGGTTACGGCTTCAAGCATTGCTTCACCTATCGAGGTTTCGGTAACCAGGTAGTATCATTGGCCCTTACACAATAGGTGTAGCCCGTTGCCTAATGAACGAATGTGCATAAGGTTGCTGAGTGATAGATAATGATGGGCTCACGTGACACTGGTAACCAGTGGTTGGATACTCAAGACGATATGGATCATAATCCATGTCCTTGGAACAAATGCACCCACACACTCTTCATATTGATCGTCATGTTGTATTTCGTAATTTGCCCTACCCTCTCTCCTCATAACTGTCTGCGACTTTTGATCACACTTTTTCCCTATTTTTCTGTTTTTCTTCTTGCTGTGATGCACCAGGATGTGGTTATATGAGTTGTGGAAGTTTAAAACATTGCACAGTAATGTCAGGTCTCGCGTTGGTATTGATAGATTGATATGGGGAGTTTAACCAAAGCTCACTGATGTCTTATAGATTCTAAGTCACCACTTTAATACTTCCACAAATTGAACGGATTTATAATAAGATAAATTACAGTCCACTGAGATTATCGTGAAGTTTCCACCATTCTCTCTCCTACATGAGTTGACATCCCATCTGAAAATGAGATAATATGAAACACTTGTTTCAACCGTCTCTTTCTTCCTGATCGATAGCTGCTACCTTGACGTGATGGTCGGGCTTGTATATCACGATGACCCAACGAGTTATGTTTCTGGAACGCTTGTTCCCTCGAGGTCCTTACCATACCAGAAAGGTATGTTGAATAGTGATTAGACAAAATACAGTTACCCTTACCCTTAATATGTTCTTAAACAATGAAATGATGCACTATGATGGCTTAGATCAGTCGTCAGTGGTTAATGGTGATCACAAAACCACAACTTACATAATATAGGTCAATTTTCGTGGAGTCAAAAAGGCCATACATGAACGGCCTCCAGCAGATGTCCCCTGGACTCTGTAATCTTGCACCAACCCTTCTTTTTCAGGTGCTTCAAGAAGACCTAGCTTTCCACGGCGTGGGAACCTGTAAGTGTCAACCGCCCTCACAAAACTGTCAGCGCTCAAGTCCCCTTAGGCAAGTTTCCTTTATACCATGTTTATAATGATCTTAATCCACTGATGAATTTATTTAGCCAACAGCTAAAACCCGACCATGAAAGTACTAAGCTCTGTGATATCACCCCACGTGACTGACTCCTCTCAGAAACAAGCGACTAAAGACCTTCAGTGATCATGTGCCATACAACCATTTCTTCTGAGTTAAGCCTAAAATAACAGATGTTGAGTGCGAAGCAAATCTTAAAAGGAAAGAACAGATTCACAAATAAATGCCAGTGGGAGACACATGACATTTTTCAAGCGTTACGTATCGAAGCAAAATTTAAAAAATTCCTAACAGAAATGAAATTTTTTATGCAGCGATGGTCATGAGTATCAATTAACGCAAAAAGAAGACAAAAGTGCTGAAAAATGCCAAAGTTTGGTAAATGAAGACTTATACCAAACAATATAACACAAAGTAGTACACTTTATTTTGATATCAAGAATTTGGAGACAATAAGAAGAAAATTCTAACCTTCAGTTTCATAGTTTCTGTCGGCAAACACACAAAACTTATGATACAGTGAGCTAGTTACAACTCCCCTCCCTCCCTCAATGTCAATGTCTACGGAAGCTATGGTCAGTTAAAAGATAACAATCATATTGAAAAGCCAGTCGCATCTACTCAGAGAGTTCCGTACTGACTTGTTTCTTTAGTAGTGACAGTATCAGGATAATCATTCTGATGGGTGCGAAAGACCACCAACTATTCATTGCTGGTATAGTTTTCGCCTTGACTCCCACTCTCACGTCCGACAACTGGTCATAGTCACTGTGCTATCTTGGTTTGTTTTAACCATATTTGTTACTCATTGTTATCTAAAATGAGACAGTTTCACCATCATTAACAATGACTCTGTCTGAAGTTATTACGCAAACAAACTTCTGAAGGTATAAAAGTGGACTTCGATGCCTATAGTTACACTGATAGTGTAACAATTGACCACAAATAAAAAATTGAAACTCACTCAGCAACCTTGGGCACGTTTATGTAGTAGGCAAGTAAAAAGTCATACCTAGTGTCTGAAATCCAATGATACTACCTGACTGTTCAAATTTTGGTATGTAAGTTTGGGTTCGAACCCATGACCTACCGGTTAGAAACCTGAATTATTGAGTAACGCACAAACTCTTCATGACAATGAAACGCTTTTCAGAAGTTTAGACATTTAGCCATTTTTAGTGTAAAAGATGATGATTTATAGCAACTGAAGTAGTGGGATTAACTAAAATGAAACAAATCATGAGTAGCTTTCAGTATATGCTGCAAAATAGAGCAAATATTTTGAGTAAAATTAAAGTGAGTAGAATGTTTCTTGAAATAAACAGCCTCCATTTCTAAACTGTGAGCGATACATACATAGCATGACATTGTTCACATGATGTCCAGACTAAAGCAGATCGACAGAATTAGAGTTCACTGTTTAGTCAAACTACGGTAACTAATATACGAGTTATGACTGCTCTGGAAGCCAATCTAATTTCCCTAACAAGTTAACACTAGATCAATGACATTCAACTTCGAAAAGCATACATACGACACGTCACTTACTCAATGATAAGCAAATATCTAATGTTACAAATTATACCACTATATATGTGAAAGCTGCTGAGAACCTAATTATAGTATTATCGTCCCTTCTGTAAGAGTTGAAAATCCTAGGTTACACAATTAGTCATTGGTGAAATAAGAAAACCCGACACATTTATGTACTAGGCCATGAGCAATATTGGTTGTGTGGTACCTCACGACACTACTCAGTTAAACAGGCGAAGTGCGATTCAAACCTGGGTCACATTGCTTACAAGTCAAATTTCTAGACCAATAAGGCATATCTATACAATCACTACAAAGAAAGGGTAAAACGGAGATTCTGTACTTTTAACGGTCACATGAGAATTCACAAACCAACCGAAACTTTCAAAAGTGATCATGCTAGTCCAAAAACAACACATCTACAAAGAGATAATGCTACTTACCGCATTGTTGAAGTGCTGGTTAACAACAGTACTGGTAGTAGTAGCTGCATCAGGAACAGTTATTTTCTGATTGATAATACTTGATGGCTGTTGATAATGACGATTTTTGTCCTGAACTTGAGATAAACGATTAGTAGTATTTGATTTGAGTAGAGTAGCATCCATCATATAACTAGGACGCTTGCGACTAAATGAATTCATAACGTAAGAAGTATCTTCTTTTGGTGTGGGTGTATAGGACAACTGTGATGAATGTTCATTGTAACATCTATTTTGTATTAGACCACCGTGTTTACGTTCCGTTGGCGATCCATTAGACGCATGATGATTTTGATGATCGAGTACATATGGATCTGAATTTACAGATGGTAGTGTTTTAGCGAAATCCTGTTTACAATTAGAATCTGTTTTATGGTATAGAGATGTTACTTTGTTCATATTGGTGATTGCAGAAACATTAATAGGAGATACTGAAGCTGATGATGAAGATTGGTTATTACTATTATTATTACTGCCATTACAAACATTAAAACGATGTTTCAAAGTGTTACGAGGTGAACGAAACAATAAGTCTGGTGTCACTGACATCCTTGTGGGAGTTGTAGGTGTTAAATAGTTATCTTTGGAAGTATACAAGTCTTCTGCCTTGCGATAAATGTTGTCATAATAGTTGGTTGTAGTATACAAATCAAAAGTATTGGCAAGAGAAGAAGGTTGAGTTTTATTATCACCATATACATTATGCTTAAGAATTTGTGAACAATCCAAACTGTTGCGTACCAACACTGACTCAGACAAATACTGTTTGAGATGGAAAGAATTATTATGACTGACATTATCATTATTATCTGAGCCAGTTAATGTACGTGCAAGCACTGAAAAATGATTTTGATGATGAGTTCTTGGTGATTTCTTTGCCTCAATTGGATGATGATTATGAAATACTAATGGATCTGGTGTCTTGGAAGAAGTATTCACTGGGGGAGAAAAAAAAGGCGAAAATAGTAACCCATGTTAAATTCATCACTCAATATTATTAAAAAGAGTATCACATCATAAAGCCAAAAATACTTTATCCCCTTGATTCCATGTTACCTTTTCAGTTTATGCAAATACTTGTTTCTATGGTAAATTACGAGTGGAAAAGGATAATGATGGAAGTTGGAAATAAACTCAGTCTGTGAACTGATTAGAACCAAAGCCCTCCAAATTATACTAACAAAATGGTCTAATAGGTAGCTGTTTCACTTCCATTTGAATCAATGACTACGGTGTTTCTGCCTACTATTTAAATGAGACGCACAGAATTTCACTACGTACTGATTTCTTAGGCAGATCTTCTTTCAGCACCAATTCAGTGATTGTAAGTAGTAGTAGTGATACTTGCAATTTCTTGTTGCTATACGGAGGCGAATTGCTCGACCTCTGGTGTTGGCAGAAGGGCTCCTACGCAAATGCATCGATACTACCGGATATTCATGATGTTATACTGATCTTGGTGACTAGTAGAGGAAGCCAGATGCGCGTCTCGTCCTATATGGAACTTGTCAGCTGGATGTGCCCGGATCCCAGTGAGTGGTTTTGTTCCCAGTGGGGTTCGAGCCCGGTAACCTTCGCTTCAAACGCCAGAGCGTTATCCACTAAGCCACTAGGGCACGATAGCCACTTCTTGTGCAACAAGTGTCAGTTGGTGTCATGATACTCGTAATTCCCCGTTGCTATACAGGGCCGAATTGTTCGACATATGATTGTAAGTAAATGGGAAGAACGATTAAATGACATGGAATAGACTCAGTTAGTATACTGTCATACTGGATAGTGGTTCGGCGGTCTAAATAGTCAACTCATAACCAGTGGGTCATGGAGTTGAATCCTGTTTAGCTTACTGAGACTTTGGCGTAAGGAAGCAAAATTATCCCTCCCTTATGCATTAGGTATGGCTTATTGCCTAGTGCAGGAATTTGCGCATGGTTGCTGAGATAGTTTCTTTTAATTTATAATACGATATGCCCTATCACCAGTCTACAAGAAAGGCGAGAAGTCCTCTTCTGATAACCACAAAGGAATCAGCCTGATGAACACAGTCTCCAAGATCCTAGGTTCCATAATTCTCCGATGCCTGCGTGGAGCTCGGGAACAGCAAGCCCCAGAAAATCAGGCACACTTAAGACCAGGGTGTCTCGACCAAATATTCACATTCCATCAGGTTCTGGAACACAGGCGCGCTTACACACGCCCGACAACAGCTGTATTTCTCGACTTGGAGGCGGTATTTAACTCCGTTGATCGATGTCTTATGGCATTGTCTCTCACTGAAAGGCGTACCAAGTCAGTACTTCATCCTATTGAAAGATCATTAATCAAATATCTATGGGGATGTTACAGCCTATGGTGAGATATCGAGTGAGTTGTCTATGTCGAGTGTCCGTCAAGGATGACCACTGTCTCCATTCTCATTCCATTTTATCATAGACGTTCTAATGAAGGTCTTCCTTGTCATATAACTTCAGAGGAATTTATCTAGTCGCAGCAGAATTTTTGTGAGACCTAGAATACGCAGATAATACAGTCCTGTTAGGTGAACACGCTGAAAAGATGCAGCATCTCCTGAACACTTTGAATGGCAATTTGAGAATGTTTGAGGTGCGTTTCTCATCACCCAAATGGAAAACTGTTGCTCCAGGATTGGTCTTCAACGATGCTTCACCGCGGCTAACAATAGAGCGTAGTGGTTGTGTGTCGACCACTTCACTTACCTGGGAAGTAGGATCAGCCATGGTCGCTAGCTCAGTGGCCGATGAAATCTCTGCACGAATATAAAAGCGTCGGCTGGCTTTCTCCAACTTACGCCACCTATGGCACCACCGTGATATCCGATTGTTTACTAAGGGTTGATTGTATTATGCTGCAGTCCACTTTGTACTACTGTAAGGCTGTGAAACATGGCCATTTGCGGTGGAAGATATGAGAAGGCTTCAGGTATTTGACCACCATTGCCTTCGTAGTATTGACCGTATTCCATGGTGTCACCACGTGAGTAACGCAGAAGTCAGGTGTAGAGTCTTACGGAGAAGAGGTAAATCAGTTGACACGGTTGTGAGCCTTCATCGACTGAAATGGTTGGGACACGTGTTACGTATACCTAGTCGCCGATTGCCTCGTCACACAATGTTGACCGAAGTAGGTCCAGGCTGGGAAAAGGTCCGAAGTGGCCAGACTAAAACATGGCATCAATGTATGAGGTCTCTGACTGTTGTTTTCAGCCATGTGGGACGATACAAACTAGTCGGTTGGGGTCTGCGGGATAAGAGGAACCAGTGGTTAGAGACTGACTCTAGTTGATGTGGGTCAGAACCGATGTGAGTGGCGCAGACGTATACACACATTATTCTCATCTTAACGATGCTATACTTAATCTCACTACTTTCTCATTCCTCCTTTTTCTCTCTTAGTACTTTATATTTCTTTTGACTGAATTTTGTTTTCTTCATCTTCTATTTCACTGCCTTTTTACTTGATGTGTTGATATGAGGTGTGGCAACTCGAGCCGTTACGCAGTAATACATGGTCCTTTGTTGATAGTGATGATTACAACCTAAGCTGGTAGCAATCACATGCGTATTCATGTAAGAGACAACGATTCTCATCTTTGGTGTACGGATTTGTAACCCTACTCGGCCAGCCAAATCTCAAACCCGTGACTCACCGATTAGAATTTGAGTGCCTAGACCAGTGAGCAACAACTCAAATTGATCATTATCGATTGCAGGGGTAAAGCTAGATTCACGTGTTTTCTTCTTTTAACCTTTTGTTGATCTATTTTGTCCTCTTTCATCCTTTATGATAATATTTTAATTTTCCTAACTTTTTCCAGTTTTACTGCATTGAAGTGTAACAACTAGAACTAGATAGCGTAAACCTCAATGTACACCAAAAACGGTTAATAAGAGTTAGAATGCTAGAATTTCAATCTGGATATAGTGATCCAGCGTCAATATTTTAAAAGTGGAACAAAATAACAATTCTGGATATTTAAAACAGAAGTATAGTTGTAGTGTTATTGCTTGCATTACACCGTCGTCGATTGGACCGAATTGATCAGTCTCTGTTGGCATATGGGCTCCTGTGAGGATGCCTCGATATTGCCTGTCGTTTAACTATGTATAGTAATGATGTTGTGTGAAAGACAACAAATCGAGAGAGGAGGATGAATGAGATATGATACATTAAATTTGGAGTAAAGTATTTCAAGTTTCTCTTACAAAAATTGGTTACTTTGAAGAGTTTTTTTATCTGGAATGATAACAGATGAGCAACTATTGAAAATTTTAGGTTATCAAAGAAGTGATCAATTTTAGTTTGGAACTACCAAGGGAGTACCCTCAACTCATGGAGAAATAGGACACATACTTAAAGTATCATGATGAACACTTCACATATGAACTTTTGAGTCGAATCTAGTCAGCTACAAATAATCTACGACAATATAGCCATTGTCTGTCTATAACATCGACAAATTTGATGGGGGAGATGTAACTTTTGCAGCTAGTAGTTTCGAGAGTGACATCAGATGGTCGTTGTTGATAGTGGAGGACATTTATAAAGTGACAGATGAGAACAGTTAAACATTGAATTTTGACATGGCGGCCTAGAACCAAGATGTTCGTGTTAGTTCAGGGTGGTGGGGATTTTTTATACAGGAGATAACAGTATTTTACTGTCCAACTGATTGTTCACTTGATATGACTTCATGAGGAAACTACTTAGAACAAGTATTTACTGACAATCCTGTATCGTTTCAGTAAAGGAATAAGCATAGAAGAGGATACTTCGTAACATTGATTCAAACGACATGAGTTTGATATGCATGTGTCTACGCTACATCACGTGAATGTAGGCTGACCAATTGTATTTGTCTCAACGAATGAATCGATAGGTACATGATGTGATGGTGTTACGGACAACCATACATATGTCATTCTATCTCAATATTACCCAGCTAGCCAAAATTACAAGGTCATGGGAATAACTATCAACATAAGCTACGTGACATTTACACGATCGATATGTAGGCATGCATGCATGCAATTCATGCTATCCAGTGGTCGTAGACAGCTGATTAACCAGCTGGCTAACACAGCAAAAAGAATTTTGTACATATTTTAACAACTTGAAAAAAGTTTAGCTGATTCACCCAAGACAAAGCTGAATTTCTGTCAGTCGTATACACTGAATTTACATATACAGCAGCCGTGAATAGTGTGGCGGGTTTGTAAAATCAGCTTTTGTTGTCAATCTTGATCTCGTTCGTTTGTTTATTGTAGCATTTTTCTCCCAAGCTTAAAACATACAAATAAGCGATAGAACAAAGAATAGGAAATTCTCATGGCATCGAGACTCGCGGTGTGATGAAAACTAGGGGCCGAATTTAACCTGTTTACAGTGTGTGAAGAGCATGGGAAAACAAAATGAACCCCGCGAATAATGATATGCTGACGTTATTCTATCAAGATAGTCTAGAAATTACTGATTACATTTGCCTTAAGCTACTACAGTAAAAGCGTAGCGATCAGTAGAAGTTCGGTCGGAATATTTTACAGAACAGATAATACAAATATACTGCATAATGAACCTTTCTAAAAGTTTTTTAGTCACTCTCAAGGTGAACAGAGTTCTCTTAAAACACTCCGGTTTATATATGGTCAGACAACTGAATAAGTTCACTTCACGAAAGTCACACTTCAAATGAGTTCACAGTCCCATCGATAATCATTCGTTCAACGAGAAGAGAAAAGTTTGTCAAATCTCATATCAACCAATCAGTACCAACATAGGACCATGTATTACTGCGTAACGGCTCGAGTTGTCACACCTCATATCAACACATCAAGTAAAAAGGCAGTGAAATAGAAGATGAAGAAAACAAAATTCAGTCAAAAGAAATATAAAGTACTAAGAGAGAAAAAGGAGGAATGAGAAAGTAGTGAGATTAAGTATAGCATCGTTAAGATGAGAATAATGTGTGTATACGTCTGCGCCACTCACATCGGTTCTGACCCACATCAACTAGAGTCAGTCTCTAACCACTGGTTCCTCTTATCCCGCAGACCCCAACCGACTAGTTTGTATCGTCCCACATGGCTGAAAACAACAGTCAGAGACCTCATACATTGATGCCATGTTTTAGTCTGGCCACTTCGGACCTTTTCCCAGCCTGGACCTACTTCGGTCAACATTGTGTGACGAGGCAATCGGCGACTAGGTATACGTAACACGTGTCCCAACCATTTCAGTCGATGAAGGCTCACAACCGTGTCAACTGATTTACCTCTTCTCCGTAAGACTCTACACCTGACTTCTGCGTTACTCACGTGGTGACACCATGGAATACGGTCAATACTACGAAGGCAATGGTGGTCAAATACCTGAAGCCTTCTCAGCACCTGATGTTACTAGTTATGATGTTTAACTTCTTAGAAGAACCGGTCAGTGTCATCCAATTTATACCTAACTAACTGAAATATCTGCTTGATGGTGATGAAGCACATGGTGAAACAGTAGGATACTCACAAAGCACATTGAAAATCTTAGATAAATAGCTTCTGTTGTAGGCAGGTTCAAATAAATCTTAATAGTATCTTAGATGGTCGTAAAAGATTAATCCTTAAGGAGTAAGATTTATTTCACCGATAGCCATTATTGTGAAACACTGTTAGAAAATGGCTATGCAAGTTAACTGCTTTACATTCACAACTCAAAAACAAATAATACAAACCAAAATTTTTCAAGAAAAACCTACTGATCCGTTGCTCAGTGTTTACAGGAATAGAACATGTCCTTAAGAGAGGTGGAGTGGGTTTTGGCGTATCTAACTGCTGTTGAGTAATCTCAGATATAGGCGAATCACCGACAGACTGTCGTCTTTCCGGTATGCAGCTACTACTGCAATCTGTTGAAGAGTGGGTGGAAATATCATGATCCAATGTTGGCAGTAAGGTAGAAGTAGTAATAATAAAATCCGATGGACTGTTAATTGAAGTTTTTCTAAGTTGATGTAAGTGTTTATCAGATGATTGACGATTAGAAGGAAAACTGTCTGCTTCCAATTTCCAATCCAACTTGCGTTTCTTTACAGGCAAACTTGAAAAACTGAAACGTGATGGACGAACTGGGTAAAGTGGTTGAGGTATCTCACTTTGATTAGGAACATCAAAGAATTCCTTGTCTGGTGTAGCACAACTACTTGATGAAACAGATGGAGGTGCACTCCAGGAAGTTTGGTGATGAACAGATGAAATATTTTGTGGGCTATCAGAAGTTCCAAGTTTCGGTTCATGCTGATCCAAATCATTAAGAGTTTCACGTGTTCCACAAATTACTTCTAGTATTTTCTGTGGTGAAGTTCGGTTAGAAAAAGCTTCGGATGGTAGACTTCCAGTCATTGATCTTTGTGTAGCCGGTAGAATAATGCCTGAGGACTCCCTATGAGGGAATTGACTTGACTGTCTAGTATCATTGGAATGTATTTCGGAGCCGGGAGAATATGGAGTTAATAATGCCGACCTCAAACGACAGTTAGAATACTGAGATTTATTATCCAGTGCGTCTACTGCATTACCATTATATCGGAACCAAGAGATGCGTTACAAGCGGCTAATTGGTTTGTAGATGAATGGACAGGTAACATAGTCCCCGAAAAACTATCCTGACTCGAATTGTCCATACAAACATCATCTATAATAAAATGAGTAGATAAGTCAAATTTATTTCTCACTAAAACTCTGACAAAAATGAACTGTAATACAAAAACGATACAGGTGATAATATAAAAGTTCAAACCATTCTAAGTCAGTGTTGATATTAATGATGAATAGTGGCTAGCAGTGGAATCCAGGACACACATTCCGTCCTAGTTGGGACTCATCAGCTGAATGGACCTACCTCTCAGTCAGAGATGTTGTTCCCACTAAGACTCGAACTCTGGAACTGATCGCTTTAAACGTCAGAGTGTTATTCACTAGGCCACCAAGTCACGATAGCCACTTCTTGTGCAATGGATATAGTTTATATAATGTTATTTGTATTATGTATCATTAATATCAAAATTGAAACACAGGCAATATCGAGGCATCTGCGCAGGAGCCCATGTACCAATAGAGACCAATCAATTTGATCCAATCAGTGATGGGATAACACAAACAACATCTTATTTTAGATAAATAGTAGAGTGGTTTGACAGCAGAATGCCAACCATCGATCGATGAATAATTAGTAAGATAGAGAAGTTGCCTTAAAACTACTTATCAATTAATAGAGTTAGCCAAAGTAGAATTCGAGTGAGAGGAAGCTAGGACTGGCCACACCAGGGTATGGGGTGTCAGTCTATAGAGTTACCGACTGTTATTCTGATTCATATAAGGAAGTATAAACTGGGATTCCTCGAAAAAACAAGGATCAATGGTTGGGAACGCTTAGTGATATCGCTCAAAATTAGTCACAATGATACAAATGTCTGTGTGCTTTGTCACCTTTGAAATCTTGGACATTTTTACTGATCTCCATTTATTCATGCTTTTTTCCTTTTAGATACTTTGTCAACTTTTATGTCACTACTCGTTTCCTATCTATGTTTTGTTCCAGACTATTGCAAAATGTATCAAACTCTGCTGAGGGGTGAAATCTAGTTGATACGTCTACGGTTATATCTGAACCTTGCCTAACCATATAGAGTTTGTCTCAAGCTCCAGTTAGACATCAAATGATTACTAACCTTATACACATATGATAAGTGCAACAATAAGTCAAAATGGAAGGTGAATAAATAATAGGACAAGAAAAAATGAGTTATAACTAGTTTGTAGGTATAGCGTTATGTGTCTTAGCGATAGCTCAAAATCGGTCAAAAACAGTGCAGATATGTTTACCTTTTATCACCTCCAAGATTTTGAACACTTACTAACTTTCATTTATTTCCCCTACTCTCAAAAACGTTTTTCTTTTTCTATTCTAATCAGCTACTATCACAAGTTGACAATAACCTGAAAACTATTGAAAACCAAGAAGCATTGGACAGTTGTTCTGCTCTCAGTTAAGACTCCTCAGAGGTGGAAACATATCCACTACCTCTTTCTGCACTATTATGAAGTGTGACGATTTAAAGTGATATAAATTTGTGTGAGTTCTTATTTTGGTTTATTTATCTATTCGCAGACTATACTGCAGAAGACTGAACAGGATTTGGAGGTGTAACTGACAGGATATCTGCCACAGAATCTGAAATTTTGATACGTCTCAATTGAAGACTCATGTTAAGCAACAGAATAATTATTGAAGCTGAAACTAAAACCTAATTCACAGCAAAACTCAAGAAATTAACCTTTGGGTTCTGCAGCCGTCAGGGTTACGGTATATCAAACCAAGGCTATCTCAGCAACAGCGATGTTAACTAAGTGTCCCATAGATGGTCAACAGAAATGTGTAAAGTATTGAGGAAGGAGTGAAGTAATAAGATAGATCAACCATGGAAACAAACAAAACCACCAGCTTACCACTTGTATTCGACAGTCCATCTGGTTCATCTCCTGTTACTCCAACCAATGATGATTCTGACAATTGGCTAACACCAGTGGCAGCCGTAAGAATATGGCAGTGATTCTGAGGCGTCTTTGAATTAGTACAATCCGACCTTAGAAGTGGTGCAGCACGTTTCCAAGTACTAGGATGATATGTAAACACCGGGTCGTCATCAGGATAGTTCAGAGTTGTTGGTTTTGATTTGGAAGACTGGCAAGGAAAGTGATTTGAAGAAACAACGTTTAATTTCCCGAGGAAAGATACAAGCATTATATCCAGATTGTCATAAAAAGACCTTACAGATAGGCATTAAGTGATAGTAACAGTTTAGAAACTTAATAACTATTTCATACAGCCTTAAACTCTTAGCTGTGATACCAGCTCCAAATGTTTCACTGTTTAGTTACGGATGATATGAAAAAGTTAGATTTGACAAATTACAATAGGAGAACAAATGAAGTAAACAATGTAGCGGTTGGTATAACTGGGTATCGGTCAGTCGCTACACTGTATATGAGTATACAAAAGGCAAGAAGTGAAAACAATTTCAGCTGTCGTAAAAAGCCATAACCCAAAAAAGAAAGGAGACAGGAGGGTATAGAGATACATAACCATATGACTTCGTGATGGTGACTAAAAAAGTTGAGCGATTTGCAAAGACTTCAGGCATTTAACTATCCCTGTCGCTATACGATCGCTCGCGTATGGAGGGACCAAGGTCAAACTTCAATTGTTAAGCAGGGAAGGTTAGTCAGTCGATGAGGTTGAGAACATGCACCAACAGAGGTGATTTAGATATACGTTAAATATCCAGAGTAAGAAAATGAAGTCGGCTAGGGTTTGTAAAAGGTCAAAGGTAACTGGTGAAGAGATGCCAATTTGCAAAGTTCCTGACTGTTGGTCTGAACCGTTTGGGTAAGAATATACTTCCTGATTGATCGAAAATGTCAGAAACCTAGTAGAGGTGCTCGTAGAATAGGATACGGGTCATCACCGCCCAGTGAAATCTCGGTATATAGAACAACTTCCAAGTAGTTTGTGTGGTGGACAATTTAGCACACGAACCTGAATGTGGTTTCTCAATTAGATCATTGTGTAATTATTATATCAGACATAAAAAGAAGTCACATTACTGTGCTATTCGACCTCTAGAGAGCTGTAGCTTGGTGGAGGCACTGAGTTTTGAACAAGTATGTCACACTTCAAACTTTGCTCCACCTATCGAAGTTGAAGCAAACTTAGTACTACACACTCTTGCTCAATATGTGTGGCTCATTTTCTATTGCATGAAGCTTTATGTGACCAGTGAGTTACGTTATCAGTGTTATCTTAGGAACCAGCACAGAAATACGTCCGAGAGCAATCCGATAGTGAAACGTTGTTTCCTAACTTGTAGCTAAACACAAACAGACAGGGAGATACATACCTCACCTGCAGTAGTTAACAGTATATTTTGAGGATTATCTAAAATGGTGATTTTAACTGTATACCTTAGATAATTTTCTGGGGAAAGAAGGATAAATAAAACGTGTAACAACCGGAACTGTTGTCCAAAAAGATGCCTCAAGAGCTGGGAGCTGATGAACACTCTTTTGCTGAACTAAGCACCGCACATACTTCAACAAAGTAACCAGAAGAAATGGGCACAATATTAGGTAACAGATGAACCAACAGTTAGCATTTTTGAGCTTCAACCACCAAACTGAAATGATTCTTCAAGTAAAAAGCTTACTTATGGATTCAACAGTGAATTGTTGTGTCTAAAGTACTATGTGAAACTAGCTCGGTACCAATGCATTTTGAGACAAAGGTGTCAAATAAAACCTTAAACACTACAGAGCTCAACTATCCGTTTGGTTGGCAGTGTTAAGCCTGAGCACCGTGGAGGGGGGGGAGGTAGGTATGGTGTACACATATTAAGTCACTGACTACTACTGAGAATTATGTGAGATTCATAGGAGCCCATGAGTTTGAAGACCACTGGCCACCTCTAGCCTTTTCCAAACCTGAAATTATTTTAATTAAGTGTGAGACGAGGCATGCAATAACTGGGTATACGCAACACATTTTCCAGCCACTTAAGTCGACTAAATTTCACAACCTAATCGTCTGATTTTTCTCTTCTCCTTAGAACTCTACGCCTGACCTCTACGTTGCTGACGTGGTGACACCAAGGCACGGTCTATCCTACGAAGGCAATGGTGACTGAAAATCTGGATCGTTCTTATGTCCTCTACCTTCGATGGTTATTTTTCACAACCATGGAGTGGAACAAAATGAACTGCAGCACAGTGCACTCGGTCCGTATTGGGTAATCGGACATCACGGCAGCGTCACAGATGGTGTGTGCTAGTGGAAGCCAATCGAACATTTTTTACTGGTGCAGGGATTCCTTTGGTCGGGTTGATCCAACTCAACAGGTAAGTGAAGTTGTCAAATCGCTCATCCACGTCATTTCCTATTATTAGACAGGGTACCACTGAAGACCAGTCCTGGAGCAGCAATTTAGATGTAGGTTGAGAAACTCATCCCAAACATTTTCAAATTGTCATTTGACGTGTTCGGTCAAATCTGCAACTTGTCAGCGTATTTACTTAATAGGACTACGATCTGCATACGACAGGTTCACTCAGGAGTTTGTGACAGTAAACCATTGGAAATAAGACAACGACAAGGAGACCCTCATAAGTACCTCAATGGCAAAAAGAAATATGGGTAGGGGAAATGGACACCATAAGCTGATATCACTCAGCGTCCTACACTGACTTGATAGCTCACCAAAGACCATGAGACGCCTACTGGCGTCCAAGTACAAAGCCTTCAGCAGTGTTGTGAGCTCATTTCTTTTGCTGAAAGACACTCCCATAAGACCTCTCTATCGACTTGGTCAAATGCAACAGCCAGATCTAAACCTACTTGATTTTCTCAGGTTTGCTGTTTCTTAGCTCTACTTAGATTTCTGGTGATTATAGAGTCTAAAACATGATGTTCGTCAGACCGATTCCCTAGTGGTTATCACAGCGCGATTTCTCTCCTTCCTTGAAGACTAAGACGATTAGCGACTGAGACTAATCAGATGTAATCATATCTGATTCCCATACACTGGCTAGTACTTAGCCTGATCAGTAATCCGCAACCAACTTTTTTAAATACCTCGATTACTAGCCTATCCGCTCTTCCTCCTTACGCGTTACTTACAACTTTCTTGACTTCTGCAAGTGTTGGAAGTTCTATTTCAATGCGCTATTCAAGATCAGACTAGGTAGTCGTCAAGAGAATAGTAGCTGGAGGCCAGCTGAACTGTTCGGCCTGTTGTTCTAGTTTTACATCATGCAAATAAATCGCAAATCGATCCTTCTCCTCTATAGTGTTATTAACTATATATTTTCTTACTTCCATTCCCTGGATAAGTTTAAATAGCTGTTTTCTGTTACCGATGTCTGTTGTTTTTTCCATCTCTCTAGCCTTCACTGCCTACCACTGGTTATGGTTACTGTGTAGACTTCTTATCAATCTACAGTTGAGTTACTCCCGCTTCTCATTGTGTTCAGAGCCTTCATCACGCCTTTATGTATATCCATTGATTACGAAGAAGCTCCTGAGGTCCACTGGTCCTTTCTAACCACTTTGTGACGGCCATCTACGATTTTTAATGTTGCTTTTATGGTAGAATAAAGATGACACCAGGTTTCTGGATGAGTGACTGTTTTGTTCCGATACTTATCGAGCGAGTTTTACACTGAAAACAGCCTTGGTTTCTCGGCTCCAAGCAGCGCCCACAACCGTCCTGCAGATGTAGTTTCCACACGTCCATCTGACACAACTTTGTTTGCTTTGATATCACCCTTCTATCCACCTATTCTTTGCTTACTACTGTGAAGTGTGGCAAGTTTAACCGATGCACTTATTTGTGAGGTTCTACGTTGATTTTGTCTGTCTGCTCGTAGATGTGTTCATTGTCTTCAGTAAGCCTTTTAAGAAGGCTTTCCACGTTAGACTAACGAAGCTCTCAAGTTTCGATCTTGGCACTGTGATGCAGGTCTGGATTAAAGAATTGCCGCGCGATAGAAGATAAATAGTGAGAGTGAATGGAACACTATCTAAGTGGCAGCCTGTGAGTAGTGAAGTCACCCAAGGAATAATCTTGGATCCTCTCCTTTTTTGCGATATGTCAATGAACTCCCGGATATGATTAAGTTACTGGTTTTATTTGGTGTTGAGGTGAAGGTATAGAAAGTCATCCGTAACAATGACAGAATGTGTACTACAAGAGAACCTAAATGCACTCAGTTAAGTGGTTTAACCACTGGTATCAAGAAATTTATTCTATCAAATGTGCAATTATGCACGCTGGTTATGGTAGTTATCATCAGTATCTGATAGATGTCCAAGAATTTAAATAATTGAAGACGTCTGTATGCTGCCTTGAAGCCGCAGTAAAACGGTTTTTAGCAACATGTGCCTTCGCGGAGCATTTAGATACCTAGATAAAAACATGTTCCAGATATTGTATTCCACATTTGTGGATGTCATCACATACTGCATTTACAAAGGATGTTAAAGCATTATAGAGCGTTCAAAGACTTGGTTCTAATGGTGGTTTGGGATCCTCTGTGCTTTGATATTTTATCGCGAACGTTTCACCACCAGGCTTGGTGATAAAACGTTCATGCCAAGATATCAAAGCTCAGAGAACACCAAACCGCCATCATCCTCATCCTGAACTACAAATCTTTTCGACCACTTAAGACTAAGTTGGTAGCTGGTCTGTATAACCAATCCTATGAGAAATGTTTAGAGATACTAAATCCTATGCCACTGCGTTGTCGTAAGAAAAGGGACTTATTATGAGCATTCCGTTTTCCTAATAGTGACTTTAGGATTGATATGTCATCTCCACCAATTAACCTCGCCTAAGTAACTAGTACCCTAGTTACTAGCCGGTCCTAAGCCCGGGTAAAATGGGAAGGTTGGTCATAGGGCTAGCAACCCTACCCGACAAAACTAACCCAATCGCTAAAGAAACTTCAGAGCACAAAGAAAATATAAAACTTGAAATTAAACTTATTCCTCGCTGGAATCGGAGAGGCGAAATGACGCCAGTCAGTGAAAGCCTTCGGCAAGCCATTTTGCCGATGTGTCTTCTCTTCTCTCAATCGAATCAAAAGTAAGAATGGGGACATGGAATGTCTGAACAATGTTTGAACATAGCAAGGCTGCCCAAATTTCAAAAGAGATAAGGTACAGCTTAGAAGTGCTAGGAATCTGTGAAAGCAGATGGAATGGAAGTGGACTGTCCAAACTGTCAACTGGAGAGTCAATAATCTACTCCAATATTGTCACCCAGACGACAACCACGAACACACTGGGTTTTGGAGTGGCTATCATGATGTCCCATTGAAGAGCATCGAAGGCTCTGTCTCATGCAGAGGAAACCAATCTGCTTCACCATTAGGATCATGACAGTAAGATTCAACTGGAAAGGAAGGAAAGTTAAAACCATACAGTGATACGCTATGCAACTACAAATAATGCGGATCAAGAGAAGAAAGAGAAATTCTGTAGACAACTGCAATCAACACTGGACAAGACCCACAACAGCTGGCGATATCAAAATTCATTCTAATGGATGGGGTGACATGAATGCCAAATTGGGAGCAGACAACACAGGAAGAGAACATATCATGGGTCGAGGGGCACTCGGTGGAATGAATGAGAATACAGATGTATTTGCAGACTACTGAGAATTCAATGATTTGGTGATTGGAGGCAGTGTGTACAAACACAAGGATATTCACAAGGCAGTGACATCAATTTGATTTCAACACATGGACACACTAAAAATCAGATCAACTTCATCTCAATCTCAAGAAAGTGGAGACGCATCCCACTGGACACAAGATCACATCAAGAAGGGGAGCAGATGTAGGTGGTTCACACCACTCACTATCTGGTGCAGGAACCTGACATCAAAATCAAGTTGAAAGCCTTCAAGGAAGTTGGTGATAGGCCACAGTTCAAGTCCAGCACCCACCCAGAACAGGAAATGAAGAACGAAACTACAAAGGACATCTTTACGCTGTCAGCCATAAGGACAAAACGGTAGACATTAAGCGACATCCCAGAAGAAACCTGTGTGGATGAACACTGGAAATCTTTGAAAGCTATGTGGAAAGAAACCTGCATAACCGTATTAGGAAGGAAGAAGAAAAAAGATAAGACAAGGAATGGATCTTGATGGACACATGGAAGCTGACAGAACAGAACAGGGAGAGGATGATGATGGTGAAGCAGAAGATGAACCAGTGCAGTGCAATGATGAACAACGAAAAGAGGAACTGAACACTACCTATAAAACACTACACTAGACAAGGAAGTGAAGAAGAGTGCGTGGAAAGACAAAAGACACTTGTACGACACAGTGGCAAGTGAAGCAGAACAGGCAGGTGGTAGGAGAGACAGAGAACAGGAAACACTGTATCAAATAACCAGATTACTATCTGGGAGGGAAGAGATCAACGCAGATGAAACCAAAGAAAGATAGTGAAGTAAACCTGGTTACTGGTAAAGAGGAGAGACAGAAGAAACAAATAACTGACCTCTTCAAAAAACTTTTGAAACGACCACCACCTGGAACTCGTCCAGAATACCAACAGCAGCCCAGTCACGGAATTACCAGTGAACATGTGCCCTCTGACGAAAGCAGGAGTGAAGTCGTGAACGCTATAAAGTTGCTGAAATCCGGTAAAGCAGTAGGAAAGGTACCTGTCTATTGAATGGAAGAAGGGCTATCTTATCAAACTCCCAAACAAGGGAGACCTAAATCTTTGCAAGGACTGGCGTGGAATCATGCTGCTGTCCATTCCGAGCAAAATATTATGCCGCATCATCGTAGAGAGACTAAAGGATGCGCTGGCTTCAAAATTGCGATCGGAACAGGCTGGCTGGATTCAGAAAGTACAAATCATGTGTGGACAAAATAGCAACGATACGCTACGCATCATCATAGAGCAGAGTATAGAATGGCAGCCAACTCTAAACCTCAACTTCATCGAAAAGACCTTCAACAGCGTCGATAGCGCCGAGAAGTAACTTGGAAACTGCTTCAACACTACGGAGTGCAACAAATCGTTATCAACCTCATTCAACAGCTATATGAAGCCGCCACATACCGAGTGGTCCACAATGGAAAGCTCAGTGACGCCTTTGAAGTGAAGACAGGAAGGAGTCAGACAAAGCTGCCTACTATCACTCATGGTCTTTCAGATTGTGGTGGACTGGATCATGCAGCAAACCATGAGGAGCTGTGAGAAGATGGAAATACGCTAACTGGACCGATGAAAAGATTCAAGAAGATTTAGCCGATGATTTATGTTGAATGTCGCGCAAATTCGAAGATCTACAGGCGAAAGCTAACAAGCTGACGGAAGAAGCAGCGAAAACTGGACTTCAAGTAAATTTAGAGAAGACGGAGGTGATGAAGATACCCAAGGAACAACAGCATGAACAACAAGCACCAATCACCATCAACGGGAGAAACCTAAGGGAAGCAGTCTCTCTCACCTATTTAGGCAGCATCGTTTCGACAACAGGTGAAACAGATGAGGACGTCAAAGCCAGGGTTGGAAAGACAGTAAAACAGGCCTTACCTCATTAACCTGAAATCAGTGTGGAGACCTACTGTACTCAGCATATAGTATGAACAAGATCCGGATTTCCAACACATCAAGTCAATGGTTCTATGTGATGGTTGAGACACTTGGGGCGTTACGAAAAGCATTTCCAACAAACTACAGACATTCATCAACAGCTGCCGCCTATGCCCACTCGATACTGAAGATCAGATGGCCAGAAACAATAAGCAACAAGGAACTGTGAGGACGATCGAACCAAGAACCCATCGCCCAACAAATATGCAGGCAAAGTGGGGATGGATTGAGCATACACTGAGGAGACCATTTGGGGGCATCATTCGCCACGCCAGGCCCTCGAGTAGAGTCCAGATGGGAAACGACAAGTTGGGCGTTCTAGCCGAGGGTGACATGGAAGAGATCATGTGAGGAAGAAATGAAATCTCGTGGGCAGTCATGGAACCAGGTTGAAATGACTACAGAGAAGAGAGTGGAATGGCGACGTGTTACTGAAGCCGTTTGTTCCACTAGGATCCCAAAGGACAAATAATAATCGAATAATAAAACTCCAATGACCGATCATTTTCGACACCAGGAAGAAAAGTGCAAAGACCACGGTCGAATCAACTTTGCGTGTTTACGCTTCTCATACAGTGGTCAATGACTGGAACTCCCTACCCAAACAAGTATTATCAGGTCCTTCGCTGAATGCATCCAAGGAGAAACAGAGGAACGTGGTGCAAAGAATGACAGATCAAATGGCCTACTCTCCTGGTTAATGAAGACAGTCAATATTTTCACAATTGAACTGTAGGTGATGGAGAGTTGACTGAGGGTTTTTACGATATATGAACTTACTCTTTTTTAAAGACACAAGCTTGAAATAATCTGCTTTGAAAATCCGGCACGTACTTTCTATTTAGTCAGAGGAAAATCAGTTGCCAAATATGTAGCCTCACTCCGCACATATACGCAGGTAGCAACAATCCAGATGAATATCTGATAATAAATGGTATAAAAACACCGTAAACATGCTGATTACAGATATGACGCCTAATATAAACTTCATTCCAGCTGATTCACTTCGTGATGTGCAGCATCTCTTTAAAAAACTCAAACATCTTCAATGAAAGCCCGAAAGTTTTCTAAGTGTGCTGGAAGCTTTCAGAAATTTAAAAGTGAGTGTGAAGTACTCTTAGATTTACACTCAGAAGTTCTGAGGTGTATCTGAAGCTTGCCGGCTGGGATATGAAGTGAACAAAATTGCTATTGGAAATAAGCAGGGTATAATTCACAAGCATACTAACTGTTCACTTGATACATGAAATCCTACTTACACTTGATTTATGACCAGGGCCAAATACTGCTTGGAGGTCAGCAATCTTCTGGCAGCCTGACATTTGGATAAGGTTCGCTAGTTCTACATGTATAGTTGATGCACTAAGAACGATAAGGCATTAGAATGTAACCTACATATTAGAATCCATTGAAATTTCGGCATTCGCTTGCTCACCAGAACTCAACCACTCGACAAACTGACCTGCGTTAATATTCCGAATCGTTTCAGCTGTGCCATAGCCACCTGAATATATAGATATATTTAATGATAAAAATCTTCCAGTAAGTACCATTTGGATACAGTTTCTTCTCTAAAATTTCTGCAGCCTTAAGAAGGGCATCGATATTCCCTCCATCCCCGTTCTCAACAGAGGCCATGGCCAAATTCACAGCTGGCCCAGGAACGGACGGAATATAAGCCCGCAACCTTGAAACGTCGATGATGACCTACACATAAGCCAATGAGAATTGTGCCTTAATCCTAACGTGACCTGAGGTCGATGCCATAACGATGACCTAAAAATATGACCGCATAATTTATCCTTGAAATTCAGAGAAGCTAAACACTTGTGTAGTTAGTAGTCCTAAAACGTGTAGTTACAGCATTTTTACGGGTCTACTATTACTTATGAGTTAGGTTGCATGATAAAGGAGATATGTTTGGTATACCCGATTGTTTTTTCCAGGGTGAGGGATATATGAAAATATACGCAGTGTATATGACACTTCATTGCATATTTTCATCTCTGCATCTTATTTTTAGGATCTGCCATACTTCAGTCTAGCATCGCAAGGTGGCAGTTTCAATTTTAATTACTTGGATGTTACTTGGAATACGTCATTTTGTAGTGCATTTTAAACTATACTCTTCCACAATCTAGTTTAAATTTCAAGACAGGCTCATCTTTTCGCTGCTAACCACTACTGTTTGGTTATCACTTTTGTGTTACTAGCTGTAATTACACTAACTGTGCTTACTGAGTCTTCGGTTCATTTTTTCAACTTCCTTTTTCCTTGTCTGGACTCTCGTGGTCGCCATGGTCGCTTTCTGAAACTGACTCCACTCTAAATAACAAAGCAACTCAGGCAGCTGAGGCAGATATTAAGCGGAAAGAAAAGTGACCCTCCATCTGTTACACCCAACTTCCCTTAGGGAGCGTCGGATTAGGACGGTATGATAAGATCAAAAGCTTCAAGACTATATATTTATAATTTTACCAAGCCTTGCTGAATAACATTAACCCTATATTAAGGACGGAATCAGATGTTCAGAGACAGTTTTGGCTACTTGGCAGCTCATTAGATGAAACCATCAGCTAAGATGTACCACTTGCCGCTAGATCGCTTAAGGCTTTTGAAGCATGCGACTCAGCTGGGAAAGTATTTGTTAACGCTTGTGGCGCCCAGTTGACCATAGGATTAAAACGATACAAACGGCTTAGTGAAAAAGGGGCAGTCACTCCAGGGCTAATCTATTTACAATCTCTGGGACAGTTTTGTAGGAACATTTCAACTTGTTGCGTAATTCTGAGAGGGAAGCTCAATATAGACAGGTTGTCACCACTCGATGCGGTCTCAGGTTGCCGGTCCGAGTCAGCCAACTAACTAGCCGTTAGAGACGCCAAAATAAATCCCAGTCAGTGCAGTAGTGAGGATTTCATCAGTATCCATGCTAACCATCGCATGAACAGGATGAAATGAACCGGATACGCGAAGGCATTAGGCTTCTGTCAGTGCTAACATAGGCGACATGCATCTTGGTACGCTGAAATAGGTTGTATCTGTAATAAAGCCCCCAGTTAGTGTGATCTTCAGCGAAATTTACAACCATGGCACCTCTGAACTGGAAGAGTCATAAGGACTGTGAGTGTCTGAGAGGAGTAAAATACGTTTCTTGACAAGCTTCGGGAACATAACGGCGCCTTAGCACCCGCTGAAGGGATTACTTGCACTGGAACACCGACAGTTCTTAAAACAGCAAACTTCTCCAAAGTTGAATGATTACGGTTTCGGGTGGCGCATTTTTCTTCGACCAACGCTTTCGCAACACTTGTATGGTGGATAAGCGCGGCTGATAAAGCGAAGTAAGTTGGATTTGTATGCCCTGACATCAGTCAACCTCTTTAAGACCTCCATCAAAAATATGTGCCGACAAAATGGAGGTGCTTTACGCGTCTACAGTCAACCTTTGAAATCATTCGTCTCGCGCCCGGGGAACTTTACCCATTGTCAGTTGATGACCGCTATTTTTTCGTAGCATTTGCAAGGGTGGCATTCCTAGGTATCATTTTTCAACCCGTACTGTTCAACATACATGCGAGGGAAGTACAAATATGCTCGAGCGGATGCCTCGAATACGTAAAAGCAGCCGGTGGAGGTCACCTTTCAAGAGCCGGTTGAAGTGTTTAATCAAAGTTTAACCACAAAAGCGAAAAGCGAGGCGTATGCCATGCTCCACCATCATCGCTGCGCAGTAAAACAGATCATACCGGGAAGTGTTGCCGGAAGATTTTAACTAGAAGCACTGATGACTGATGGCATCAACAGCTATATTTGTGTGTCTAGGAGAGTTAGGAAAGGAACTTACGTGTTTGTGGAGCCTCTGAAGACACTGGTCAGTTTTCAGCGCAGGGCCTTGATGCCAAACCTTATACTTATATCCGGCAACGTGTGGGACCACGTGAACATGGTTTGCGTACAACACCCGATATCAGACGAATGGTGACTAGGTGTGCATCATACAAAGACTCCCAAACAACGGGGTCTGTTCAGTGTCCACTGTGGTAACAGAGCCGAAGAGCTTAATTTCCTTCAACTTGTGAAAGTTTACACTCACCCGCGCAACTTGTATACAACCAGCCCAAGGGTAAATATTATGAAAACATGGGGGTTCGTTGACGTAGATTAAAAATACAGAGGTCGTGGTATGAAACGAGGGTTTTTTGTCAGGGTCATGCACATGAGGAAAGAATATTTCCATTTCATGAGAACACGTTAGTTTTGCGAAACGTCGGACTTTTGTATGCTCCCGTATCGCTGACATAGTAGCAAGGAATCACTAGCATTAACGACATGAATTGGCACTGTACTTAAGCTAAGAAACATAAAACCCCGGATATCTTCCAAACTCTGTGGAGTAGCTGTTGCTGTCTGCCTATTCGAGTTCTTGCGAAAACTAATATCCTGCTGCTTGTCAACTTATACCCTGTATGCATTTACGGCCATAGTAACCTGCTGTTCGGGGTTTCAAGATAGTGGTACACAGCAGGCATTCCGTTCGAGTTTTACAGTGTCTGATTATGGTTCAGGCTAAGCGTCTATCTATGAGGACCATGCTTCATTTCACGTGAATTTACTACTTTGCGCATATGGCCTTAAATCCTGTGAGCGCGTCACACAGTTGCCTTTTCTAAAGTAGAGGAGAACCCTATGTACGCTTAGGTTTTGGCCTGTTCAGATGTTGTGGCAAAGGCTTTGCAACACTCACTCACTTAAACAAACGACCGAAAGTATAGTTCTTCAAACATGAAAATTACCTCTTTTGACGAGGGAAATTAAAAGACAGCTACTTTGTGGGGGGGAGTCCTTTTTCTATGCTCGTCATGTCTTCACCAAAAATATCGACTGAAGTACATAGCAAGGTCTAAGTGTACTGGGAATGATTTTCGCTCCGAGTTAGGCCCAAACTCAAGTCTCAGTTGTGGTAGTGTAAATGCTGTAGCGCCCGCTTAGTGCCGTCTTAATACTAGAGTGTACCAGCATCTTCGTCTGAACATTTACCACACCCAGCCCACAGAAAGCAGTCTATCAATTTGAAAGTGGCCAGGTCGGCGGGAAAGAAACCCACCGCGCTTTTTGAAAGGAAGTGTAATCTTACCGTGATTTAGCAATTTGGCTTTTGTTGTGTATAACGCAACGATAGCTCCGGTTTTCAGTAAGAGTATTCTCTCGAGCTTCCAGTTCAACTAGTTAACCCTTCTTTTACGTGTATTTCTGTTCATACTAGGATGACGAGGCCTTACCTCCGTTCCGGTTTTGGTTTCATCTGATAGCGTTAAGGTTACTACTCTTTGTCAAGCTTCTACAGGGTTTTTATTTTTAGTTTTTTATGTATACCCTTTTATACTTTCAAAAAAATGGTTGTCAGGCAGATGTGTAAGAGGCAGGGCTGTCGTCAGCTTGTGCAAATGGATATGCAATGTGACACATGCGACGGATGGTTCCATGGCGCTTGCACTGACCTAACGCAAACTGAGTACACCAGACCCAGCAAGCCTAGCCGCAAGTGCATTGCCACTAGACGATGTTCTTGAAAACACCATCAGCATGTTGCCGGAATTAAAAAACAGACTGAAAGTAGACCATAAAAAGGGGAAGCTGGAAACTCAAAAGCAGTGCCTAAGCACTAGGGTTATGGAGTTAAAAAATCGTCTGGCGTATAAAGCGCTCAAGTCACTCGACAAGATTAAGAGCCTGGTTTGACGGAGGACATGATACACCTCAGTAGCAAAATGACATCAACTTTCCTACAATCCTTCACTCGGATTTTGTCGTTAACAGATGAGGCGCAAAATGAAACCGTCAAACCAAATAAGGATGCGGAAGATGGAGAATGGTTAACCATTGTACGAAATAAAAACAGTCGAGTTTCAACTCCAGTTAAACCCATCAGGTCTAGGAAGGTGAGAAGCACAGGGCACAAACCCAGGTGGGATAATCTGGAAATCAGGGAGGCTAAACATGGGTCCGCAGGGAAGTGGAATGGACAGCAGACCATGCAAGTCACCAACGAGCTTGTCAAGCAAGCAAACGTGTCGCCCACGAATGAGGGCAAAGTTGGAGAAAAGATGAAAGCTCAACAAAAAACGCCTGAGCGTCAACAGCCGACAAGGCATACCACTGTCCCGAATGATTCCTCGATCATCATTAACCTGACGGACAGCCCTGAACTCCCATGTAGCCTTCAGGACAAGAATGATAGGGTCCTTTGGGAGAACGTACGCAGAAAACTCAAGCTGGACCACATAAAACCAGTAGCTGCAACTAGGCTCTTTCGCGGTGCTGATCCAATAACTAAGGGCAAACCCTGTTTTTTGAGGCTCATGTTCTCCAACTCAGACGATGTCAAGGATGTACTCTTGGCATCTTACTTGCTAAAAGCTGAAGCGGAAGCTAGGATACTGCCGGATATCCCACACTCTGGTAGAAAGGCTCTGAGGAATCTGTCGGGCGACAGTCATGACGCCTACTTCGGAGGAAGAAACCTAACAGTGCAAGAGATACCACAGGCCCCAGGAGCCGAGGATTTATTATTTATTTTTATTACTTGTCCCTTGGGTCCCTAGTAGAACATAGACCTTCAGTAGCCCATCTCCATTCCACTCTCTTCT